GTGAGAGAACGTGATAGAGTTTCCCGTCAACGCGATGATCCACAAAGGGATCGAGAGCAAAGACTTCATGATGATTCGTCAAAGGAGATAACTCCTAATATACGTAAAGTTGACGAAAAAGATGTTGCATTTCGTCGATTAGATGAAAGATTATCTCGTAGGCTCGATGAACATCATCAGATATCTGCAACATCAGATAGATCTCAACGAGAATTATTAAATAGAGATCGTGAAAAGGATAATCATTATCAACGTGATGCTTCTGAAAGGTTAAGAATTGAATCTAATAGAAGAGATGAGCGAACTTCAAATATCCGCCAAAAAAACGACGCACAAAATGATTCAGTTTTCCAAGATAATAGAGGTCGGGATAGAGAATCCGGGCAACGAAATGTTCAACCAAATGTGCAATCTGAACTTGACCGAACAGAAAAAAGGAAGAAGGATGAATCTGAAGTTACTGAACGTAAACCCTATATGGATAGGGAACAACGGGGCGATTCTCTTCAATCAATTCAACGTCCTCCGGAATATCGTTCTAGAGAGAAGGATAGAGATATTCGTCAACGCGATGAGTTTATAGCAAAAGACAATATCAGGGTAGGAATAAATAGGGACCAAGAACGGGAATTACCAAATCGCAGAGATGATCGTACTGGTGGGCTTCCTGACCTATATAGACCGTCATCGGAACATCATCTTAGAGACATTGATAGGCGATCAATAAGAGAGTTTGATAGAGATTATCGAGACCGTGATTTGCGCGGTGAACCTATTGGTGTTGATAGGTATCGTGGCGATTATAGTCGAGACAATAATCAAGGTCGTGACCGGATGATTGATAGCCATCCTCGGGAAGTAGAACGACGTTTGTCATGGGAATTGGATAACCGTGGTGGCACTGGTATTTTTTCTGATAAAGATCAGATGGATCATCGAAGGGAAAGAGAGCGGGAAAGAACTCGTGAAGTTGGGCATAAAAGCAGGAGCAATTCTGCTGAATTAAAAGTTGATTCACATAAGCATTTATATGACTTTCATCAACGTGAACCTGAACGGCGGACAACTCGTGATGTTGAAAATGACCAAATGGCTCGCACGAATAGGACAGAGCTTGTTCGCCGATCTGAATCTGATCGACATTCGCTTTTCGTTAATGACAAACATCATGACGATTTTTCGTTGGATGCTATTCAGCGCGAAGAGCAAGATATGGAAATACAATCAAAGGACTTAAAGACTGAACAAATTATTTTAAAGGATGATGAGATATTACCTGATTCGTGGCAAAAATGTATGTCAAGAAAGAATAAAGTGTATTATTTTAATCAAATAACACGAGAAAGTCGTTGGACATTTCCATCCGAAGACTTTGGCAAAAGATTTTCAAATGAATCTGAAAGGAGTTATCAGATATCGCCTGCACATGATGATAAAATTGATGAATATGAACAACATAATTCGGACGATATTGAAATTCCTCGCAAGAAACCACGTTTAAAATCGCGAGAGTCTGCTGATGAGAAAGCTTTGGATGATCGAAAGGATTCAAGTAATCGTGATATCTATGAAAGAAAGTTTGGTTACGAAGATCAATCGTCACTTGATAACTATTCGGTAAAAGGAACCTCATTAAGGGACCAAAAAATAATGGCTGATTCGCACGCCGACCCAATATCTAGACGTCCTCGTAGCAATACCACTAGCAACGTCATTTCATCTCCATCTTCGAAGTCACAAACTTCTCCTTCAATGACGCCTCAATTTTCACCAACGCACCGTTCTCCTGCACCTGGATATGATCGTCGTTATAGTGCCGATTATGACCATCTTGGTGGCTCACGAAGGGTACCTTATAGTGGTCCGCAATTACAATCACCTCCAATGCAATTACGCTCTAATGCAGCCTCTTTCAACCGTAATGATTTTTACGAACGTAGCGACAATTTTCGCATTGATGAATTTAATTCACGCAATATTAGCGGAAGTAATAATAATGCCGGAATGGCGTCTCCGGGGAATGCACAAACTAATGTAAATAATCGTTCAAATCGACCAACAATGTACAATAGCTCATTTGGTGTTGATCAAGGCTCTATATCTGGTAACAGGCGTACTTCTACAATGGGTCGTGGTGGTATGTCTTCGTTAAATCATTCAATACGACATAGAGTAAGGTCTTCTCATGAAGATGACCGAAATATATATAATGGAGATGAAGATCGAATGGAAGCGTCTATGGAGGTCGGTGAATTTAAAATTAATAATAGGAACTTGCCGACGCGTGAATTCAGTAATAGAATTGGTGAAAAGGCAGATTTGGAAAATGGTGTTCCTCCAAATGATTCTACATTTGATGTTGTACCAGACGCTGCTTTCATAGCATCAGACGAAGAAGCTTGGCGTACGGAGGACGAAATGGTTGATGATGTACTTGCTGATACTGAACCAGAATCGCTCTTCTTATTTCGCCGTTCAAGGTCATCTAGTCCTACTTCTCACCTTTTATCAGATGAAGATATTATAAGGCGACAAATTGCACCGATATGGAGTCATATTACTTCAAACGTCGCTGGTGATGAGCTATTCCAACAATTTGAACAAATAATGAATAATGGTAACTCGCACAAGAAAAAGGAGATGAGAATTTTGAATTCAAGAAAAGAATTTGATCGAAGACGAGCTATTTTTGGTGGAAAAAGAATGTTTCGATATAAAGTGAGTAAAATTAATTCCAAATCTTAAATGTGTATGAACTTTTTGTTGCCATCATAATCTACAGTCAAACCTGTTAGATGCATAGGACTAGTAAATTAGGTTTGTATTTACTTAGGATATTCATCTATGAGGGCATTGCTATATTAATTATAACTTTTAACAGAATTTTTCGTACCACTTTTAAATTTCGAAATTCCCTCATAAATAAAACTTTATACCTTATGCAATTATGCGTGATAACTTGATTTTATGTTGTATTCATTCATGCTGGACATCTGGTCAGGTTTGACTGTAAAGGCACATCCTTTAAATAATCTAATTCAAAGACATATTATTATATGTTTTCCTGAAACAATTCTAACATCTACCAATTTTATTTTATAAATAGCATTTGTTTGCTATTTCGCGTCCAAAAACCTCATGTCAGGATTATTTTGTTTATCCTAAAAATATGCCAGAAGTACCCGACAACCTTTTTCAATCATGTATAGACATTTTTCAGTGTCGTAACTAGAGTTGCGGCCAAAAACTTTTTCTGAATTGACATTATAACACTGAATTTGGAATTTCTACTTCATTGGGTTGCGACCAAAACCTTTTTCTGAATTGACATTATAACACTGAATTTGAATTTCTACTTCATTTGGATAATAACCACAATTTAAATATATGTCTATTTTTAGTTAACATTGTAAAATCAAAAATCAATCAAATCTGTTAATCAATGCTATAAATTATTGAAACTTTATTATTTTATTTTCAAATCAATTTTACGAGAAATTTTAAGAGGAATTTAGTGACCAAGCAGGATTTATTGAATAAAGTGATATGTTAAAGTAGGTTTAATGATTATATTGAATATATGCATAATAAGTAAAAAAAATGAAAGTTAAGATTTAAGAGTTTTTTGTTAATGTATCAAAAAAATTAATGTTTAAACTTTATTTACAAAACATATTAGTATTTTAGTAACTATATAGTTAATTAGCTAACTATTAATTTGTAATTTATTTATCTCTTAAACTGTATTCCAGGCAAATTTGCCTGGAAAATTTAATTGTATTTAGTATTTTTTAAATAAAATAATAATTTAT